CACCTCAGTGGAGTAGCAGCATTGCTGAAAAGCACACACCCGACTTGGTCCCCTGCAGCTATCAAATCAGCAATCATGACAACCGCTACCACGGTGAACCTTGCCAATGATCCCATCTTAGATGAGAGGCTCCTCCCAGCTAACATCTTCGCGATCGGTGCAGGACATGTCAATCCATCGAGAGCTAATGATCCAGGACTAATCTACGACACCGAATTTAAGGACTACCTGCCTTACCTCTGCGGTTTGAATTACACAAATCGACAGGTTGGAAATCTCCTGCAACGCAAAGTGGAGTGTAAGGAAGTGAAACACATTCCTGAAGCACAACTAAATTATCCTTCATTCTCCATCGCACTCGGAGAAATTTCTCAGACTTATACGAGAACAGTGACTAACGTCGGGGAAGCTAAATCATCTTACAGTGTGGAAATAGCTTCCCCACCCGGAGTCTCTGTGATTGTTAAGCCCTCTACTCTAGAATTCTCCCAGTTGGACCAGAAGTTGAAATACCAAGTGACATTTACGAAAAGAAATAATAGCCCAAACAGTGGCATTGCTCAAGGATTCTTGAAATGGAGTAGTAAGAATTACTCAGTAAGAAGCCCAATTGCAGTTGTGCTACCGCCTACAATTGGTTTCTAGTTTTATTTTCTTCTCATTTTAATAATTGGAACAATATATAACAAGAGTGGTTCCAAAAGAAACTGTTGAATTACATTATATTTGCATGTTACATTTTCATAAGATCAAAAATGTTACCACATGAATCAGTACCAGATAGTTATAATTTCCAAAATTGTTCATGTAAATTCTATAAAGGCTTAATACATAGACCAGACATCTAGAGTATGGACAATATAAGCCAGAAGGCCCAACATCCGAAACAATGAATTGAGATGTGTTTCGCTCTAATGCCATGTTAAAGCAGACCATAAAAAGAGAACATGTCATTTTTTCGGGGAATCATTTTCGTTTAAATTTTCTTTCCTCTTCTCTCTATTAGTTTGTTTCCCAACTTGTGTCCAGTCACTTCCATACTCAAAGTCCGAACCCGAAACCTATAGTTATGAATAAAGGAGTACTTCTCACTCCACCACGACCTTTATTGGTTGTTCTCTTGTCTCTTTCATTTCATCTCTTTGTTTCCTGTGCTTATCTTTCTGAGTAATTGTTTTATAAACAGAGTCCCTTTGTGGGATGAATTCTTAATTTTAATAGGGGAATTCTTTACACAACATATATGAAGGGGAACAATAAGAGATCGAGACGGATCCAAGATATAAATTTAATGGATTTAATTCTGTTGCACCGTTCAATCTTAAATATTTTAATAATTTCTTTACACATATATCTATACCATATCGAAAAGTTATGAGTTCAAATGAGCCCACGACTAAAAGTCTATCCGACCCTAGGGTTACATCTTCGGCTCAAATTCTCTGTGTTAACATTTCTACTAAATATCAACAATGTAATTCCAAACTCGAAAAAGGGTAGAGCGTAAATAGATCTTATCCTTATGGTTATTTTCTATAGATCCTCGACTCAATGATTCTACTAAATAAGTTAATTTCCTATAAATCATCGACTCAAGGATTCTACTAAATAAGTATATAAATTAAATTCCAAAATTATTACCAGCATTTAAAATTATTATCCTAAAATCTCAAACTCATAAATTTCAAATCCTGGCTTCGCTTTTGAGTCGTGGATATAGGTCGGACCTTCGCTCATAGACAATTGACTTTCTTTTCTTAAAAAAAAATATTTACGATATATTTTTAGAAAAATAATCATCTGATAAACCTATATATTAGACTTATTTCTACTTTTAGTACTAGAACCCTACTACTTATTTCTATTTCTTATATATACTATTTTATTTTATGATACATTCAACTTGACATACAATTTAAAAAATAAATGGTCTTTTAACCTGTAATTATTACCATGTCATAACATTTTTAGGCCATAAAAATATATCATTAAAAATAAAGTGAAAATTTAAAAATTATAATATTTTCACATATAAAATTGTATCACTTATTTTTGAAAAAAAAAACAAAAATGTCATGTAAAAATAAAACAAAAGTCAGTCCATGTCCCACCTTTCTTGAACTGAGAAGAGAAACTAGAATTTTAGCTACAGAGTTCAATGAAATTTATTAATTTTAGTTAATATCATGTGTATATGTAAGCTATTTTAAAACATAGTAAGCTATTTTTCTTTTTCTTTTTTTTAAAAAAAAATAGAATTTATAAATTTAAAATTTTAGATCCGACTCTGTTTTTAAGGATCATTTGTTACTCTTTGGTGTTAGCTTAGGGCACATCTTATTTCCATTCAATTATTATGTTAAAACATCCATATAGTGTCTTGTCAAGTAGTTTTGCAATAATTCATAGTATTTCTAATCTTCATATATAGTTTTATTAATACTTTTTAGCATTATTTAATTTATTTATTTAGTCTTAATTTTGATATGAAGTTTAAGAAAATATATAAAAAATAAAGTTATAATTTTATCTTAAAGATATATGATAAATATAAAAAAAATCATTTAATTTATTATTTTAAACATATTACATAAAAAATTAAAATTAAAAAATATAAAAAATATAATTTTTCTAACAAAAAAAAATAAAATAAAAATCATCTTGTGTTTCACGTAAATACAAGTGTCCACTTGCAACTTGTTAATTATTTGTAATCATAATCACATAGACAAGATAAATCAATTATCCAATTGAATAAATTACATGCTCCTAGCTTTTTCTATTTATATTTTATCTCACAAAATCTAAAAGTAGGAATCACAAAAATACTCTCTATTTTTTATTTTTCTTCGCGCTATCTAATTTGGAGTTTAATTAATTAATTTAGATTCACATTAATAAAATAGGAATGAGTGTAGAAGCTCATAAACGAGTTTGACCTGATTCAATATCTTCGGATGAAGCAATATATTTTTGTTAAGAAATTCATTTGATATATAAATATTTTAAATTTCAAAGGTATATATTATCACTAGTACTCATCTTTACGTTCAAAAATACAAAACTCACAAAAATGAAACTCCACCTCTTATTAAGACATTTACTTTTAAAATAAAATATTCTTACTAATGACGAATCGATCATTTTCGAAAATCACAAATAAAAACACTAAGAGAACCAGTCTTTTTGTGGCCTAAATTAAGGTAAAAGTATGTTGACCCTTGTGAAGGTACTTGGAAGATATAATGGAAATTTGATTATTTAAACATGTTAGAATTGATCATTAAATGTATTAAATAGGGTTATCAATAATGGTACTATATTATAATAAATCCAATATCAAATAATTGACCAAAAATATCAAATTTACAAACTAAGGCGGAATTGGGATTTTATTTTATGTTTCTAAAATTTAGAATGATATCTGAAGGCGATAATAAAATTCTAAATTTAATATTTATATATTTAACATATTTTGTGATATAAATATATTATTTTAAATAATTTATTTTTGATATGATTGAATCAATATCCTAACTTCTCGATACAAAGAAGTCAAATTTGTCAACTTTAGAGATTGTTATTATTGTAATATAAAATATGAACATAAATGGGGAAAAAAATGGCTGCTAATTGGATGGGTCCTTAATATATTAGTGCTACTACTACTTTTTATCTTCTTTTTTTTTTTACAAAGTGACTAACTTTATTTAAAAATAATAAAGGAATAAAGCATAACTATTATTGGTGTTTGGTGTTCCCTTTTAAGGCTTTCGGATTCGCTTCCGTAAAGCTCAGAGGCAGAGTCAGAATTTTCAATACAGGGGTTCTTAATATGTAGAAATAGACAGATGAAATATTCGAAGTAAATTCAACATCTACTATATATACATATAATAATATTTTAATCATATATAAATAATATAATTTTTTATCGAATGGGATTCAAATGAACCCCCTTCATACAAGGTGGCTCCGCCTTTGATAAGACCATTAAAAGAGGAAGCGCTCCTTATCATTTTTCTGTTCTCGAAGTTTGAATTCGAGATATTTAATTAAAAACGAAAGAATAAAAATTATCCGTCCCACCACAACTTACGATGTCTAGAAAGTAGAGGGAGAATTTCAACATCCAATACCTAAAAGAAGGAATCAAAGAAAATATAAAATACTCATCAAGAGTCATAGTGGTCTACTTAAATAATATGATACTGACCCTGCCAAGATTATTGAAAGATGTAATTTATCATTAAATGTAAACTTTAGCATGTTGTACAATTAAATATTATAAGGATATGAGTATTTTAAGTTGGATATAGGATAAATAAAAAAAAAGAAGCCAGATACTAAATCCAACACCAAACAAGAAATAAAGCAACATTCACATGGTACATGTAGGGAAAAAAAGTAGTTGAAGTTCCCATCATTAGGTGGTGTAATAATATAAACGCAGAACCAGGATTTAAAGTTTATGAATTCAGAACATGTCACTTAACTCTTTGCTCATTTTAGTTAGTGAATTTGCTGAGTAAATATTTATACGTATCTAATGAATTTCCTAAATATAACTACAGTATCTAAGCAAAAGATAGTGAGTTCGATCAAAACCTTACCTAATACAGTAGCTCTGCACCTAATATAATATGCACTAAACAAAGAAAAAGGAAAAAGCATGGCTTGCAAGTAGTATGAAATTAGAATTCTTACAGCCAATTGGGAAAATTAAGTTTTATTTTATGTCTGATAGAATGTGGAATAAGAATACACATATAATAAAAAGAGCTTGTAAAGCGTAATACTCGTATAACGATGATTATATTATCAACAAAGAATGTAGTAAAACGAAGGGTGATCATTGTGTTTTTAATCAGAAGTCTTTGATTCGAGTTGAGAAAATAGAGATAGAGGAAGGAGTTCCAACTAAAATTATTTTATGTTTTATGTTGTTATATAATTGTTCCTTTCAACTTTAGTCTTTTAATTTCTATCACATGATACTTCACTTTCTCCCACACATAATATAATACATTAAGTAACATGAGGGTATCTATTGTGTAAACAATTCTAAATCTTGATCTAGATGACCAATCAAAACTATAGGACTAGAGCACTATATATGTTAGTACTTCAAAGAAGGAAAAATCATCAACTTTTCTTCCATGAATATATGTAGTTAGAGTTCTTTTAGCTAATTTGTAGCCATGAAGTTGTTGAATATCCTTCTTGTTTTGTTCATCGTTAATTGTTTGTCATGGCCTAGTATGCAAAGCGATTTAGAGACTTATATAGTTCAAGTTGAATCTCCAGAAAGCCAAGTTTCAACTCAATCAATGTCAATGGATTTAGAAAGTTGGTACAATTCTTTTTTGCCAAAGACAATCTCGAATGAAGAGGAGGGGCCGCGTTTAGTATATTCATATCGCAATGTGATGAAAGGCTTTGCTGCTAGATTATCAGCAGAGCAAGTGAAAGAAATGGAGAAGAAATCAGGCTTTGTGAATGCGTGGCCGGAGAAGATATTGTCTTTGCACACTACACGTACTCCGAGTTTTCTTGGATTGAAGCAGAACACTGGCTTGTGGAGGGATTCCAACTATGGGAAAGGTGTGATCATCGGAGTGTTGGACTCTGGGATTTTTCCAGACCATCCTTCATTTAGCGACGAAGGAATGCCTCCTCCGCCTGCTAAATGGAAGGGAAAATGTGAATCGAACTTCACTACTAAGTGTAACAACAAACTCATTGGAGCACGGACGTTCCCAAAGGAAAATGGTTCGCCAATAGATGATGATGGACATGGTACACACACCGCCAGCACTGCTGTTGGCGGTTTTGTGAGAGGTGCCAATGTGTATGGAAATGCTAATGGCACTGCTGTTGGTGTTGCCCCTCTTGCTCACCTAGCCATTTATAAGGTTTGTGATTCGTTTGGTTGCTCTGACAGTGGGATTCTAGCTGCTATGGATGTAGCTATTGATGACGGAGTTGATATCCTATCGCTGTCTCTTGGTTCGAGTTCTAGTCCCTTCCATAGTGATTCTATTGCACTCGGTGCGTATAGTGCAACACAAAGAGGTATTTTTGTAAGTTGCTCTGCTGGTAATTTTGGTCCATCCGAACATACTGTTGCAAATGAAGCCCCGTGGATTCTCACAGTAGGCGCGAGCAGTCTTGACAGGAAATTTAAGGCAACAGTTCAGCTAGGAAACAATAAAGTGTTTGAAGGCGAATCGGCTTTTCACTCAAAGTTTTTCAGTACAAAATTCTTCCCTTTGTTTGATCCATCACTAACTGCTATTGACTCTGACAGCTCTTATTGCGGACCAGGTATGTTGACTGACCTTGCTGTTAAAGGCAAAATAGTCTTGTGTATGATAGGTGGCGGTTATACGAGGATTTCAAAAGGACAAGCTGTTAAGGATGCTGGAGGTGTTGGCATGATTCTAATTAACAGGGCTGAAGATGGTTTCACTACATCAGCTGACGCTCATGTCCTTCCAGCAATGGATGTAACTTATACAGATGGAATGAAAATCATCGACTATGTGAATTCAACGAAGAAACATGTTGCTCGGATTGCATTCCATGGAACTATACTCGGAGATAAAAATGCTCCGGTTGTTGCTGGATTTTCTTCTAGAGGGCCAAGCATAGCTACTCCCGGAATCTTAAAACCTGACATTATTGGTCCTGGTGTTAATATTCTTGCTGCTTGGCCTACCTCCATGGAAAACAACACAAACACGAAATCTACCTTCAATATTATTTCGGGTACCTCCATGTCTTGTCCTCACCTCAGTGGAGTAGCAGCATTGCTAAAAAGCGCTCACCCCACTTGGTCTCCTGCAGCTATTAAATCCGCAATCATGACAACTGCTTATACAGTAAACCTCGCCAACAATCCCATCCTAGATGAAACGCTCCTTCCTGCTAACATTTATGCCATCGGTGCAGGACATGTCAATCCATCCAGAGCAAATGATCCGGGACTAATTTATGATACCCCTTTCAAGGACTACTTACGCTATTTGTGTGGCTTGAATTACACAAACCGAGAGGTTGGAAACCTTCTACAACATAAGGTGGATTGCTCGGAAGTGAAAAGTATTCCTGAAGCACAACTAAATTATCCTTCATTTTCCATCATACTCAGAGAAAATCCTCAAACATATACAAGAACAGTGACTAACGTCGGGGAGGCTAAATCATCTTACATTGTCGAAATAGTTTCACCACAAGGAGTTTCTGTGACTGTTACGCCCTCTACTCTAAAGTTCTCGAAGATGAACCAGAAAAAAACATATCAAGTAACTTTTTTAAAAACGGCCAATAGTTCAACCAGTGGTATAGTTCATGGATTCTTGAAATGGACTAGTAATAGGCACTCTGTAAGAAGTCCAATTGCAGTTGTGCTACAAGAAATTGCAATGGATATCTAGACTCGTTTCGTTTTTAAAAATGATTTGATCCATGTAATAAGCCTGCATTAATTGTTTGAATCGAAAATGTAGAACGAATGCAGAGAGTACTCATTATATTCTATTATTCTTGTGTTACTTTCATTTCAGAGTGAGCTACTATTTTTTCTATTCTCTTCTTTCACTTTACGTTATCAAACTTTCGCGTATAGGAGAAATAATGCTGAGGTTGAGGGGGTTTATCACAAGTCAAGCGGAAAAAAACAGAATTATTGAAGCTCGAGCTAGTTCAGGCTCAGCCACAACGGAAAATGGAAATGGACAGACCGATTACGTTTACAACTATCCACTGTACTTGCAAGTTTCAGGTTCTGATCACTTGATTTCTATCAAACATACAGTGCTTAAACAATTATGCCTTGTGGAGTAGGTCGCTGAGATAAGATCTCCCGTCCAACAACAAGCTGAATTTGCACATGAACGGTTTAAAATGGATTATGAGTCTAGCTCAACCCAAAAGCTAGCTCAAGAGATGAGGATTGCTCAAGTTATATAAGGAAACCAAGTCCCCGTGGCCCCACCCCTCAGCTGACGAGGGGGACTCAACACCCCCCACATGCCTAGGCCTGCCAACTGGTGCTTGAACAATATAAATGGGGCCCAACATTGGTGAAACAAAGGATTCGGGTGGGTTCGTCTCTGATACAACCATCAACCCTTTTTCATCCGATGTGGCACCCCTAGGGGGGCCATCATCAGTAAACAAGAATTGAGATGGGTCCTACTCTGATGACATATTATATATGAAATGGATCTAGGGCATAACTCAACCACGAAAGCTAGCTCAAGAGGTGAGGCTTGTCTGTGCCCCACCCCTCAGCCTTAGCCATTTGAATTTGATCTACAACTAATACGATTTAGCACACCGAATAATTTGATCTACAACTAATACGATTCCACACCGCGTTAATCCCATTAAACGAGGAAGCACTACATTAAAAATAATGAAAAAATAGGTTCATAAATATATTAGCAATATTTAACATGAATTTGATGTTTGTCATTATCACATAACTCAAGAACATTTGTTGAATGAATTATTCATGAAATAATAAATAATTTGTTCCTTAATCAACATTAAAATGAAAATAAAGAAGAAAATTAGGATTTATATACAAAGGCATTTCGTAAGAAAAGGAACACATTTAAGTTGCATAGATTATACATTTGTGGTATGTCTTAGGGAAAAATTCAAAAAATTGTTAACAACTTTAGAAAAAGGAATTACGCTTAAACATGAAAGAGTTATAACTTTTCAACTTGCATAATGAACTTCTTCAATTGTTAAGTGAGAAACTTCATATTTATGTAAAAATAGATAATATGTAATATAACAGTTTTAAGTTATAGAATTTTATATAGAATATCAAAACATGAATTCTTGGAACTAAGCACAATATTTATTTTCTGCACAATGAATATACCTACTATATGTGTATATGTTGAATATAGTTAGAGACAATAACTTTGCAGAAACATAAACAACAAAGTTAAAAACATGTAACCCAAAACAACAATTAATATTATAAGCATAAATTAATGATTGTAAAAAAATATCAAGATATATAAAAATAGAATGAAATAGAAAGGAAAGAATCGAGTCCACTGAATGCACATTGTCCCCTTAAGAAAATTATTCTCCTCTAATACCTAAGGTTTAAAGAATTAGATCCTCTTCGGATGAAACGATTGTATTTTCCAGCGTATTAATACAAAAATAATAGTGTCAGTAAGCCACTCAATAGGAGCAAAGTACACAAATATTTAATTGTGCTAAGACGAAGAAGAACTTCAGAATTTTCGTTGTTTTAAAATTAGAGGTAATCCCTTTATTTATATACAACAAAGAGTAGTATGAACAAATTCTTATTATGCCTTATCGGAAATGTCACAACTCTTCGGAAAAGTCACATTCCTTCAAAAAGATTAGAACCTTTCATAAACGTTACAATCTTTCATAAAAGTCACAACTTTTTCATAAAAATCAAAACTTTTCATAAGAGGAAAAGACTAGTTTTGAAAATAAATAAATTAAAATGAAATCCTGATTTGTGATGGCGCCATGTAGGCGGACCTAGAGTTCCGATCCCTTATGGGAAAATTACACAACAAAGCAAAGTTATACTATTTAATTACTCACCATAGTTATAGTTTGTTATAATTACCACTCCAACTAACATTATACCTTAATTATCTGAGATGACTTCAAGTTTGTATAATCAGTTACGTTTGTTTATGTATAATTCGACAGTATATACAAATACATATGTATAATATACAATTATTTAACCTATGTATAATTCATCTCTCTCCCCTCTCTCACTCGCCTCTCTCCTCCTTACCCCAATTTCGCTCGCCTCTCTCCTCCCTCTTCCAATCTCGTTTCCCTATATACAAATGTATATGTATAATATACAATTATATACATATACAAATCACTGCTCTCCCACTCTCGCTCACCTCTCTCCTCCCTCTCTCAATCTCGCTCGCTTCTCTCCTCCCTCTCCCAGTCTCGATCACCTCTCTCCCCCCTTTCCCTGCCTTGCCCGCCTCTCTCCTCCCTCTCCCACTCTCGCTTACCGTATATATAAATATTTATGTATAATATATAATTATCTAACCGATATACATATACAATTCACCTTTCTCCCACTGTTTTCCTCCTCTCTCTCGCATTTCTCAATCGCCTCTCTCCTCCATATAACATGTAGTTACGAATTCTAATTATCAAACATAATTATTTTGAGGGTAATTAAATAATTTTTAAGTGACTAAGTGTGAATGTTCCCCTTATATTTGTTGTATATGAAAGTTGTTCAATAAAAATCCACTAGAAACACAGCCCAACAATAACCAAATAAGGCCCAAGTCAGCCAGTTTCTTCACAACAACATGTTCACACTAATCTATTAGGTTTTCATCTTTATTCTATCCTCTAACATCTCAATAGGCAAAATTCCAACTTGCTAGATTGGTTTCACCATTTTCAACTAAAGCTCCTTTTTGGAAAGTGATTTTTTTTTTTTTTTTGGAAAAGACTCAAATATGTCATTAAATTTTTAGAAAATGCTCATTTGCCATCAGTTAAAAGTTTGAATCATTTATGCTATAATCGTTAAAAAAAGACTCATTCATGTCATTATTTTTATAACGGTGATTTTGTCAAACCATTTTTGACACGTGATCACTTCTAATTCGGTCACGTCATCAATTTTTTGATAAAAAAAAAAAAAAAAAGTACTTCAATTTTTATTCAGAATTTTGATTTTTTTATTAAAAATTTGATGACGTGGCCGAATTATAAGTGGCCATGTGTCAAAAATAATTTTGCAAAACAATTATTAAAAAATAATGGCATGATTGAGCCTTTTCTTTAACGGTAAGGACATAGATAATCCGAACTTTTAACGGCATAAGTGAGCCTTATCTGAAAGTTCGATGACATATTCGAATTTTTTTTTTTTTTTTTTTTGTATTTGTTGACAAAAAAGGACAAAAAGGACGATTTTGTTGATCTCTACCCTGTCACATTTGGACTGATCTCAACCTGCCCTTTTTTTTTTCTTCAAAATTTAAACTACTTTTTTGTTCTTGAATTCCCGCTCAAATAAATCTTAATCCTACAATATGTAATATGATATTGACCCTACCAAGATTCTTACTAATTATTTATTAGATATAAACTTTTATCATTTTGTCCAATTAAAAATTATAGAGATGAGTATTTTAAGTAGGACATAGGATAAATTAAAATACATTGTCAGATACTAAAGCAAACATCCACATGGTGCATGTGGAAAAAAATAATAATTAAAAGTTCTCTTTGTAATACGATACGTGTAATCAAGATTTAAACTTTATGAGTTCATAATTTGTTATAGTGAGTCCCGTAAAAAAACATTTGTATGTATTTTTTTCATTAAAAAAATATTTTTTCTTAGGGAAAATGCAGAAGTATCTCTCAATCTATACTCGAAATCTCAGAGATACACTTGTACTTTACTAAGGTCCTATTATCCTCCTTGAACTTATTTTATAAATAATTTTCTATTTCTTTTCGGCCTACGTGGCACTACAATTGAAAAAATTGTCAAACACGCGTTGAACTCACAAGATAGTGTCACGTAAATCGAAAAGGGATAAAAAATTATTTATAAAATAAGTTTAGAGGTAACATAACATTAATATAATATAAACGTGTTTCTGAGATTTCAAGCATAGTTCATGGAGGAGTTAGCCGATGCTTATTCCCCAGATACCGTCATTGCTTCTTCTCCGAGAAAAGAAGTTCACGACCCGTGGGCCCTTTTTTTCTTATAATTTTAGAATTTAAGTTTCCATACAAGAAGCCTTGCACTTAAATTATTGGTAGTATGACAGGGATAACTTTAATTATGTGCCACCTAAATCTTTATCAATAAAGCAAAAGATGTAAATATTTTAAGTTTCAATTCAAGAAGCCTTAGCATTATATATTGTAGTTCTTCAAACAATGTAAAATCATCAACTATACATTATTTAGTTCATGTATTTTGTTTTCTTTTAGCCAAATTTGTTTGTAGCCATGAAGTTGTTGAATATCCTTCTTGTTTTGTTCATAGTTTGTTGTTTATCACGGCCAAGTATGCAGCGCAGTTTAGATACTTATATAGTTCAAGTTGAATCTCCAGAAAATCGAATTTCAACTCAATCAATGTCAATGGACTTAGAAAGTTGGTACAATTCTTTTTTGCCAAAGACAATCTCGAATGAAGAGGAGGGGCCGCGTTTAGTATATTCATATCGCAATGTGATGAAAGGCTTTGCTGCTAGATTATCAGCAGAGCAAGTGAAAGAAATGGAGAAGAAATCAGGCTTTGTGAATGCGTGGCCGGAGAGGATATTGTCTTTGCACACTACGCGTACCCCGAGTTTTCTTGGATTGAAGCAGAACATTGGCTTGTGGAAGAATTCTAACTATGGGAAAGGTGTGATCATCGGTGTCTTAGACACCGGGATCACACCTGACCATCCTTCATTTAGCGACCAAGGAATGCCTCCTCCGCCTGCTAAATGGAAGGGTAAGTGTGAATTGAACTTCACTACAAAGTGTAACAACAAGATCATTGGTGCGAGGACTTTCCCAAAAGAAAATGGTTTGCCAATAGATGATGATGGGCACGGTACTCACACCGCCAGCACTGCTGCTGGTGGTTTTGTAAGAGGTGCTAATGTGTATGGAAATGCTAATGGCACTGCTGTTGGTGTTGCCCCTCTTGCTCACTTGGCTATTTATAAGGCCTGTGACTCTTTTGGTTGCATTGTCAGTAATGTTTTAGCTGCTATGGATGCAGCTATTGATGATGGCGTGGATATCATATCCCTTTCCCTTGGTGGATATACTAGTCCCTTCCACAGTGATTCTATTGCTCTCGGTGCATATAGCGCAACTGAAAGAGGCATTCTTGTGAGTTGCTCTGCAGGTAATACTGGTCCATCCAAAAGTTCTGTATCAAACGAAGCCCCGTGGATTCTCACAGTAGGCGCGAGCACTCTTGACAGGAAAATTAAGGCAACAGTTCAGCTAGGAAACAAAAAAATGTTTGAAGGTGAATCAGCCTTTCATCCAAAGGCTGTTAATACAAAATTCTTCCCTTTGTTTGTTCCTACACTTAATGCTAGTGAGTTTCGCAGATCTTATTGCGGATCAGGTACGTTGAGTGACCGCGATGTTAAAGGAAAAATAGTGTTGTGTATGATAGGAGGCGATTATTCGAGAATTGAAAAAGGACAAACTGTTGAGGATGCTGGAGGTGTTGGCATGATTCTAATAAACGGGGCTGAAGATGGTTTCACTACCTCAGCTACCGCTCACGTCCTTCCAGCAATGGATGTAACTTATGCAGACGGAATGAAAATCATTGAGTATATGAATTCAACAAAGAAACCTGTTGCTCAGATTACATTCCAAGGCACTATACTCGGTGATCAAAATGCTCCGGTTGTTGCTGCATTTTCTTCCAGAGGGCCAAGCATAGCTAGTCGCGGAATCTTAAAGCCTGATATTATCGGTCCTGGTGTAAACATTCTTGCTGCTTGGCCTACCTCCATGGAGAATAACACCAACACAAAATCTACTTTCAACATTATTTCGGGAACTTCCATGTCTTGTCCTCACCTCAGTGGCGTGGCAGCATTGCTAAAAAGCGCTCATCCCACTTGGTCTCCTGCAGCTATCAAATCAGCAATCATGACAACCGCTGATACAACCAATCTTGCCAACGGTCCCATATTAGATGAGACACTTCTTCCTGCTAGCATCTTCGCGGTTGGTGCAGGACATGTCAATCCAGAAAGAGCAAATGATCCAGGATTAATTTATGATACCCCAGTCAAGGACTATGTACCTTATTTATGCGGTTTGAATTACACAAATCGAGAGGTTGGAAACCTTCTACAACATAAGGTGGATTGCTCGGGAGTGAAAAGCATTCCTGAAGCACAACTAAACTATCCTTCATTTTCCATCACACTCAGAGAAAATCCTCAAACATATACAAGAACTGTGACTAATGTCGGGGAGGCTAAATCATCTTACATTGTGGAAATAGTTTCACCACAAGGAGTTTCCGTGTCTGTTAAGCCCTCTACTCTGAAGTTCTCAAACAAGAACCAGAAAAGGACATATCGAGTAACTTTTTCAAGAACAGACAATAGTTCAACTAGTGGTGTAGTTCAAGGATTCTTGAAATGGACTAGTAATAGGCACTCTGGAAGAAGTCCAATTGCAATCGTTCTATAAGAAACTGCAATGTTTGATTTCTAGTCTCGTTTCGTTTTAAAAAGTCATGATTTGTTACATGTAATGAGCCTACATTCATTGTTTGAATCCAAAATGTAGAATGAATGCAGAAAGTACTCATGCTGGATTTTTCTTTCCAACGACCATAGCGAGTGCTAGCTCAAACGAAGAACAATTTATCATTACTATTAGACTCTAAAATAAGTCCAACATCAAATAGAGGGCTAAGGCATCATCCATACATTACATGTACAAAGAAGTTAAAGTTCCCATACTAATGTTGTTATACTATATACAAAATCAAGAACAAGGGAAAGCATATGGCTGTTACATACACTGACATTGGAGTTTTTGACCAAAATGAGTTATTTTAAAAATCAATTTACCTAATTAATATATTTTTAATTTTTTTTACACAAATAGTATAAACGTACTTTATGGTAACGTTTTAGGATATTTTCATTATAACAATTCAACGGACAAAAAGTTAACGGGTTGACGACGTTAAACGCATAAACGTAACTGTGAGTAACGTTTTAGGTGTAAAACGTTACTCAAGAGTACGTTTTTGGAGAATCCAATTACGGGCCACTGACTCCAATCCTGCAAAGGCGGAGTCAAATCATTCAACTGTAAAACGTTACTATGAGTAACGTTTTACACCTAAAATGTTACTTTGACTTCCGTTTCTTAAGAATCTAATCACGGGCCTTCGACTTCTGCAAATTTAGAATATATTTAGCTATAAAACGTTACTCACAGTGACATTTTACCTTAAAAACGTTGCTTTCAATTACAACACTCCGTTAAAGTCATATTCCTCAATTTTTCAAACTGACCAAAGTGATTATAAATAAATGTTGTTGTAATATTTTGCATGTTCAAATATAATTCAGCAAAAAATTTCGTTGTGTGGTCCATTTTAAAAATAATATTCACAAAATTTCATCGGGTATGATACATTTAAATGTATGTCATATTGATGTTAATCCAATTAATATTTTTATATAACATTATAAATCATATAAATAAAATCAAAAATTTTCATAATACCAATTGCATGTAAATTGAACTGTTGAAAGTATATATATAGATACGCGTTTCATAATACCAATTGCATGTAAATCAAAGGTTGTGAATATTATTTTTAAAATGGACCACACAAGGAAATTTTTTGTTGAATTATATTTGAACATGCAAAATATTACAACAACATTTATTTATAATCATTTTGGTCAGTTTGAAAAATTGAGGAATATGACTTTAACAGAGTGTTTTAATTGAAAGCAACGTTTTTAAGGTAAAACGTCACTGTGAGTAACGTTTTATAGCTAAATATATTCTACATTTGCAGAAGTCGAAGGCCCTTGATTAGATTCTTAAGAAACGGGAGTCAAAGTAACATTTTAGGTGTAAAACGTTACTCATAGTAACGTTTTACAGTTGAATGATTTGACTCCGCCTTTGCAGGATTGGAGTCAGTGGCCCATGATTGGATTCTCCAAAAACGTACTCTTGAGTAACGTTTTACACCTAAAACGTTACTCACAGTTACGTTTATGTGTTTAACGTCGTCAACCCGTTAACTTTTTGTCCGTTGAATTTTTATAATGAAAATATCCTAAAACGTTACCATAAAGTACGTTTATACTAGTTTTGTAAAAAAAATTAAAAACATATTATTTTGGTGAATTGGTTTTTTAAAATAGCTCATTTTAGTCAAAAACTCCTGACATTGTAAAGAAAAAGTTACAGTAGGGAAACAAAAGAAGCAGATTCATTTGATATCAATGGATCATTTGAAGAAATTGGAACAACTAATACATGCTTATTGTAGAAGGATCAAATTACTAAAAGTAAATGAAACGAAAAACTAAATCTTGTAGTTTCACTAGACTAGCACAACTGCAATTGGACTTCTTACAGAGTGCCTATTACTAGTCCATTTCAAGAATCCTTGAACTGTACCACTGGTTGAACTATTCTCCGTTCTTGAAAAGGTCACTCGATATGTCAACTTCTGGTTCAACTTGGAGAATTTCAGAGTAGAGGGCTTAACAATCACAGAAACTCCTGGTGGTGAAACTATCTCCACACTGTAAGATGATTTAGCCTCTCCGACGTTAGTCACTGTTCTAGTATATGTTTGAGAATTTGCTCTGAGTGTGATGGAAAATGAAGGATAATTTAGTTGTGCTTCAGGAATACTTTTCACTTCCGAGCAGTTCACCTTGCGTTGTAGTAGTCTTTGAATCTCTTGATTTGTGTAATTCAAACCACACAAATACGGTAAGTAGCTCTTGAATGAGGTATCATATATTAGTCCTGGATCATTCGCTCTTGACGGATTGACATGTCCTGCACCAACCGCAAAGATATTTGCAGGAAGAAGCCTTTCATCTAAGATGGGCTTGTTGGCGAGGTTTACTGTGTCAGCAGTTGTCATGATGGCTGACTTGATAGCTGCAGGAGACCAAGTGGGATGTGCGCTTTTTAGCAATGCAGCTACTCCACTCAGATGAGGACAAGACATGGACGTGCCAGAAATGATATTGAAGGTAGATTTTGTGTTTGTGTTGTTCTCCATGGAGGTAGGCCAAGCAGCAAGAATGTTTACACCAGGACCAATAATGTCCGGTTTCAAGATTCCACGACTAGCTAAGTTTGGTCCGCGAGAAGAAAATGCAGCAACAACAGGAGCATTTTTATCACCTATTATCGTTCCTTGGAATGTAATCCGAGCAACAGGTTTCTTTGTTGAATTCATATAGGCAAGAACTTTCATTCCATTTGCATAAGTAATATCCAGGGCAGGAAGGACATGAGCACTGACAGATGTAGTGATACCATCTCCCTTCTCATTGATGATAATCATGCCAACGCCTCCGGAATTCTTTACAACTTGTCCTTTTCCAACTCTAGAAATACCACCACCTACCTGGCACAAAACTATTTTGCCTCCATTAGAATTGTACACTAATCCATCTTGGCAATAAGAACGTTCAGTAGATTCGCGTTCATTCTTTCCAGGTTCATTCAGAGGAAAAAATGTTGAGTTTAAAACCTTTGGATGGAAAGCTGATTCACCTTCAATTTCATGTTTGTTTCCCAATTGAAGAGTTGCTTTAATTTTCCTATCAAGAGTGCTCGCGCCTACAGTGAGAATCCACGGGGCTTCATTTGATAACGAACTTTTGGCTGGACCACTATTACCTGCAGAACAACTCACAAGGATACCTCTTTCAGTTGCGGTATATGCACCGAGTGCTACGGGATCATTATAGAAGGGTCTGGTAAACCCTCCAAGGGAAAGGGATAGGATATCAACACCATCATCAATAGCTGCATCCATTGCAGCTAAAATGTTACTGGAAGCGCAACCAATCGACTCACAGGCTTTATAAATAGCCAAGTGAGCAAGAGGGGCAACACCAACAGCAGTGCCATTTGCATTTCCATACACATTGGCACCTCTCACAAAACTGCCAGCAGCAGTGCTGGCGGTGTGAGTACCGTGTCCATCATCATCTATTGGCGAACCATTTTCTTTTGGGAAAGTCCTCACACCAATGAGCTTGTTGTTACACATTGTAGTGAAGTTCGATTCACACTTTCCCTTCCATTTAGCAGGCGGAGGAGGCATTCCTTCGTCGCTAAATGAAGGATGGTCAGGTGAAATCCCGGTGTCTAAAACACCGATGATCACACCTTTACCATAGTTGGAATCACTCCACAAGCCACTGTTCTGTTGCAATCCAAGAAAACTCGGAGTATGAGTCGTGTGTAAAGACAATATCCTCTGTGGCTGTGCAGATATGAAGCCTGGTTTCTTCTCCATTTCTTTCACTTGCTCTTCTGATAACCTTGCAGCAAAGCCTTTCATAACATTGCGATATGAATATACTAAACGCGGCCCCTCCTCTTCATTTGAGTTTGTGCTTGCTACTGTATTTGGCAAAAAGGACTGATACCAACTATCCAAATCCTCTGATAAAAGTTGTGTTGAAATTTTGTTTTCTGGGGATTCAACATGTACTATATACGTCTCTAATTCACCCTGTATACTAGGCCATGAAAAACAGCCAAGTATGGTAAAAACAGGAAAAAAATTCAAGATTTTCATAGCTACAAAATGGGCTAGAAGAACTCTAATCTGTTGATGTTCCGAAGTAAAGTTGATAGTACAAATTCTATGAAACAACTAGTATATATAGTGCTCTTGTGGCCCTATAACTTTGATTCATTTTCTACATCATAGAAACTCTTTAAATTGTTTAATCAAATAGTGCTGATTAAAGTATTAATGTATAGGAAAAGAAGAACCATTATGATAAAGAAAGTTGAAAGGAACAATCCTTTAAAATAAAGTTAAATTGGTACTACGAGGCGTAGCAGGTACCCTATAGAATTAATCAAAATGTATGCAAGCTAATCATCTGTAGTAATACAAGATAATTCATTAGATGGTTGTTGGTTCTACCGGAGGAGTCTAAAATCAACGTCGTATAACTACTTGAGACCATAGTCATAAAAAATAATTAAGAAGAAAGTAAGAAGGGAATTACTCATAAAAAGAAAAGGATAGTACTAATACATTATGTTTGCAGCCTGCTAATATTTTTGACATAATAGAAATATATGGAGCGACAGAAAATATAGCCGATCGTGACTTGTTTGTAAGAGTTTGGACCAGAGGCAATTCCTTTTGGAAGCTTCTTCAATTGTTTAATCAAATTGTGCATCTCATGTTGATTAAAGTATTATTGTGTGGCAAAAGGGGAACTATCATATGAGAATTGAGAAGAAAAAATTGAATTTAAAAGGATGAATAGAAAAAAAAAAAAAAAGGAAAGTGATGTGATAGAGCAACTAAGAATAGTCTAAGAATGGAAAATAAGTTTCGTAAGTGTCATTCCATATTGATTGTCTCTTCTCTGCCTCTAATCCCCCCATCTCCCATAGTGTTTGTGTAGATGATATATAAATATTTTTGAGATTATATTTTCTACTTACGTATAATAAACACAAGAAAATCACTTATTTTTACGAGAACTACATTTTTCATAGAATACTTTTCCTTCACACCGTTTGCTGATTGAAATTTGATTGACTAAAAATTAAACCTGATAAATAATTAAGATTAAGGTTTGTATCAACATTGAATTATTTGAGTTCAAAGAATATAAATGGACGGTAAGGATTAATAAAGCCAAAGTTAAGTTAAGCTGCAATTTATAATACTTAATGAATTCAACACTTCCATGGAATGACACTCATATTTTAAAAACAATAGATGACTACTTTTCATTTTATGAAAGTTCCTTTCCTTTAATATTTTTTATTTTTTCATAAAGTTATAATAATAGATAAAGTTATTTCATTGGATTATTAAGTGTTCATTTGTGGTGAAATGGTTGAAATCTTATCACCCTTAAGTCTTAACTAGAGGCCTCGGATTCACACCCTTAAAAATGAACAAAATCTTATTGGGATCAAACCGCTCAATTTTATGTTTCTTGATACTTTTGTCAAGTGTCTAGCTTTTTTCCTATAACTATGATGCCAGTCTTTACCTTATTGACCTCTAGAACACGCACTTGGATGAAATTTATTATGTAAAAATAAAAATTAAAATTAAAAAAAAACTTAATTTCATAACAATTTGGTTTAATCTAATCTGAAAATTCAACTTTTTGAGATTTGAGTAAATCTAGTTTCCATATGAGAGACTCTATTAAGTGAGTCATTTTCAATAACTAGAATGAATGTTTTAATCAAACTGCCAAAACTAGAAAATTGATTCAACTAATTGCAGTAACATAACTGTCCATTCAATAACATAAAAAAAATGCATTTGCAACTGAATAATATTACAGAAGTGTTTCGATAAACAAATCAAAATTTCAAATCCTATTACAAGAGTGTTTAGGCAAACAAATCTAAATTCTGAATCATATTACAAGAGTCTTTAGGCAAACAAATCTAAATTCTGAATCCAAAAGAGACATGCTTGGAACTTAATAAAACCAATAAATAACACTTCTTGCACCTGAAGTTAGTGTGTGCTGCATACCTGCATTATCCATAGACTTGTCAACAAAATTCCATCATCTCATGTAGCATGCACAAACAACATAAGTACAGATCAAAAAATTCCATTCAGAAGAGAATATATCTTGTCGATATATTTAAACAACATCTCAGTCCCAAACAAGTCAAGGTCGAGTATATGAATCCTCACTACTTCTTTCAAGCTCAACTTATGCCATAAAATTAGAAGTGGTGTGTGTGTGAGAGAAATATAAAATTAGAAAGCCTCTAACAAGTCTAAGACTTATTTCCAACTAGTAGAATCTTGACGATATAATTAACGTAAATTTATCATCGAACCAGATGTCCTAAGTTTAAATTTAACCACCAACCTTCATCAAGAACAATTCCCATGCGCTTGGATCATTAATAAAAAGTTGGTTGGCATGAGAGAAGCATATTGAAAATATAATTAATTAGATATGTTCTCTCTAACTACTCAAGGTGGCCACATAACTTAACAATTTAGTTTTACAAATTCATATCATAAATATGAATAATTGAGAATTTCTTACTCCCTCCGTATCAATTTATGTGGGGCGGTGTTTGATGAGGTACAAAGTTTAAGGAAGAGAGAGATATTTGAAACTTTTGGTTTAAGTAAATTATAGATATTTGTGTGGCTATACATCATCTCATTAAGGATAAACGGTAAAGTTTAAATTTAAATTGTTTCTAAATAAAGAAGTACAGCATTCTTTTTTTGACTGACTAAAAAGTAAAAGGTGACACATAAATTGAGACAAAAGGAGTAGTTTTTTTCTCTAGCATAATTCCCCATAAGAGGCAAGACACCTCACCAGGGCATAACGTTTCATCTTTGTAACCAAGAGAAAAAAAATAAATTGCTTAGAAAATGATGTAAAGGCATTTACAAAGAATACCTTCTTGCCAAATGGTATGACCAACTAATTTTCCTTTGTCCAATCCACAGCATCAACTCCTAAAAATTTAGGAAAAACAAACCCATTCATCCTACTTAGCAGTTCCAGCTCCGTATCAAGGTCACGATTGATATCATCACTAGCATCAAGATTGTCACTATCAGCATTGTCAATCTCATCAATAAGAAAACCTTTAGGCTTGTTATCTAGGAACTAGTTCAGCTAAAGAAAAACATTTAAAAGACAAAGCAGAAGGGAGAAAAAAAATCCAACTTGAGCAGGTTAGGAAGAAATATTGCGGTTAACATCTAAAGAACCAACAAAATTAACTTAGTTTAGACTACATCTTACAACAAGACATCATGTCATCTCCAATGTTCATATTTGAAGACTATGAGTTTTGATAGTACTAATCTGTTATCCAAGATCATGCACAAGCGACATAGTTAAGGCTTCTAACCTTGGGAAATTGAAGAAAGAGAGGTCATGAGCTGCTAGTCGGTGCAGTGAAAGTTAAGTACTCTCTGCAAGTACCAACAAAAGCTTCTTGAACTTGATACAATAATGACCAACCAAATATGGCTAACCTTTCCCAAAAATATAAACAGAACTATATGAACAACTTAATAAGCCATCAGCCAAATCCTGGAGGCACTTCAGGATCTTCATCATTAACATCATCTGGATTCTTCTCTATTGTGCCTATAGCAAAGCCAGGTGGCGCACCCACATCCACACTTTCGGGTATCAAAGGGTCAAGTGAGCAGTTGTTCTCTGACTGGGTATATGTTTCTTTTGCTTTTCCATCAGAAGGAACAGGAATTCCTGACACTTCTTTCGGTGATACCTTATGGTCACTTTTCCCGTTCCGATTTGAACTTAATTGGGCAAAACCAGGAGGTTCACTTGGTTCCGCATCAGCAGAAAATGTGGCATCAATACAACTGTCAGAAACAGCAAGATGTCCATTACTTTCAACTCCATTCTGAGCTGGCTGCAAGTCTGAATGAAAGGCCGATTCACCTGCTTCATTTAGCTGTGGGTTCAATAACTTACTGTAAACTGATTGAACCGTTTCAGTTATCTCCGTTTGAATGCCATCACCGGTTCTGATTGTATTCCACAAATCATCTGAAATTTTACTCATGGCTTTTTCCCTATAGTTCATGACCAAAACAGGTTAAATTTGTGGAACTCTATATACATTACCAGATTAACTTTTAATACCACTAGTTGAAACATAGAATCATAATTCACTGTTTGAATAAAAGGGAAAAAGACTAGAATAATTGAGAATCTATCAGTTAGGCCCCTTAAATTTCTCTCCTAACACATGACACGCCATCCGCGTACCCCTCCCCCTCGAGTACCAACTTTTTTGCTGCACTCGTCAGAACTATTCTCTTTCATTGTGTTGATAAACAATTATTCCTTCAATACCAAATTGAAAGGCCCAGATTGTTTTAAAACATGTCAACAATTTCCAGTCACCCAAAAAAGAAACAACTACCACTTATCCTATAGTCAAAAGGTCCTAAGCTTGTGAAAGAAAAGACGAAACAGAAACAACCTAGTTGAACAACCCAGTTAAAAGAAGGGAGGGGAGGTTGTTGAGATCTACCGAAGGACAGCTCAGGCGTGTTTCTAGTGTCTTGAAGAGAAAATCAAAACCATGGGAAAAGGTTGAAAATATGACCTACCCAACTTCTTGATATATAGCATCGGACAGTTGCCTTAGTTTCATATTTTCTGCACCTGGACGGTTAAGTGCTGCTGATTCTTTCACTGTAGCTCTTAAGCTATTTCGCAACTCTACCTGAAAAAAAACACAATTGTCACACAACTGGAGCACACATGTAAGCTTAAAAGTGTAATAGCATCATTCTGTTCCTTTTGCTTATCTGAAGAAAAAGCAAGAAGATAACATACCACGTAAGCCAAAAGAAATGATATACAAATCAATTTACATAATGGATACAGAAATATGTAACAAAAAAGTTCATGCCCCACTGACATACCATAACCGTGTCAACTAATGCACTTCACCCACAGGAGGAGGGGATTGGAGGTTTTCCATTATCTTCAGTTTCTCAAGTTATCAATTCAAGTGAATAATGTATTGATGAATTTTTATGTGTTTTTTGCCTATTTATCTTGGTAATCATAATTGTCAAGCAGATAGAACATTATCCAAAAGATGCACCAACATCCAACTCATTCACACAAGAACCATTAAGATTACAGTTTTAAGAGGCGAAGGTACATATATATTTGCTTGGGAGAGACTAAGCCCGAGAGTCTTTGAAATGTAAGTCTATATTTTGTAGGTTGCTGATGATTGAACACTTTCTGAATATCGTGAAAATGCAAAAAAGAACAGGAAATATAGAAACTAGAAACAGATCAGACAAGTGAAACTAACTAATGGCAGAAAAGAGCTCTCTTTAATCAAGAACTGGCAATGATAAACTTTTCGATCATATAGGCTATTATTGATTTGTTTTCCAATTTCATCCTTAATGTGGTGTATGTCTTATTTTTCTTGATAACCGAGAAATCAGGGAGAGTATTTTGTACATAGTCAAAAGTCTGTATCTTTAACCCACCCATATACCCTTTTCCACTTCTTGTATGCCAATTTTGTCAGCACTTCATCCTTACAATTAAATTCGGTATGCTACATCATTAAAACTAATTTCTTTCTTTTTTTTCAGAGAGAACTATTAGACCATATTTTCATGACTATATTTCAACTCAAATCTCACCTTCATTTTCTTAGGTATTGAGTAAAACTTCAGCCGGGGCTTTAGTTCAAGTGGCAAAGGTTAAGGGACTGTGACATTGATCACAGGCTTGAGCCGTGTGCCATGCGAAATATACTTAGTATCTTATTGGAGAAGGAAAAAGGCATGGACTCATTATCCTCGAGTTTCAAAGGCCGCAGTTGGTTTTAAAGGATTGGCCCCAAATGAATTTCTCAATCATCAGAAAACAGTATCTTGAATAAAACCAAGGCACAACAACAAAGCCCAATGCTAGAGATGTTGCCTAAATATATCAGCATATTTTAGAAAAGAGCTCAATAGAACCTATGCTATCTTC